TGCCCTCAGGGTGAGAGCAAGCTTTGGGATATCATCCCCTATGGGCTGCAGATGGCTTGAACAACGCGTACTTTGCCAGGAGTAAAAGTTACAACAGTGACCTGGAGGCAATTGTTAGCAATTATTCAAGCAGCCTAGGTTCTCTTACCAAAAGGGCATAAATGGCAAAAACCTACAGTCAATGGCCCACTCTCGTATCTCAGCCTGGCATATGCTTCTTCCTTGCCGACAAACTGAATAATCTCGTTCATCTGGCGGTACATGATGGCGGCCACAGCAACGATTTCACTCTTGAGAGAGTAATTTCTGGAGTTGCTTTGGACCTCATCATGCGGACTTTGATCGCGCATTATGCAGCTCCAGTGGTCAGGGCGATGCTCAAAGTAACAAGGCCCGTAAATGCGGCGATGATGATCGACAATCAAGCCAACCCGGAGTTTCCAGAAGAGAGGGCCCATAAACCTATGAGGAGATTAGCAAAGAGATTCCTCTTAACAGGATTTGTTCCTCATCCTTACTCTTGGTCTTCAGTAACCTCTACTTTACTTCCAACCTCATGAACAGCTATCTTTGTAAAGCCAGTGAAGCCGAAATCACTGGGAAGCTCTCCAGAAGAGAGTTCCTGGCAGCTGTGTATGGCTTCCAGGAGAGCAGGAGATGTGGTGAAATCCACCTCCTCTTCTGTGGCATTCTTGCAGCAAAACTCGATCCTTTCATTGCTGTCTTGTAGCCACTCAAAGGTAAAGTAATCTGGTTTAGAGGCCCAGTAGCGTTCAAAGAGACGTGCCATCTCCCAGCCGACCTTGCGCGGGCTGTCGAATGGGAGATATTTGCGAGTTGCCATGACGAAGATTGAACGGCCGGCTATCTGATGATATAGTGTTGAGAAGTTGTTGTCAGCCTTTCGAAAGAGTTCGAAGACAGCTGCTCTTATGGCTAGGTAGTGTTAGGAGTCTCGTTCCGGTTCTAAGAATAACGGATGGTTTGAGTTGAGAACCCTTAACAATGAAAGAGGGTAGGTCTTGATCGCCCTTGGACGAGGCGCCCAGGCAACAGTGCAGCTCAGCAATCTTCTCTCTCCTTTCCGGCATGACGTTGCTAGTTATCTCTCTTTCCCATGTAGCGGGAGGGAATGCGGCCTACCATACCTTCATGGTGTCGCAGGATCAATCGATATTGGGATCTACACCAATGAATAGTCAAGACACTGGATGAATGTAACCTGATGTCGACCTTTTTCAATGTATTTGAGTCGCAACATTTGGGATATCGGCTAGCATCATCTCGTCTGCGTAGCTATGAAATGGGTCCCATACCAAAGCGTGGAAGTTTTGATTGACATATTGTGGTGTAGAGTTAGACAAGGGGGAAGCATAGTGAGCCTGGACTCTGTAGGGAAGAAATGGTTGAAGCTGTTTAGTTTCTACAGCTTTGTAAATACCGTTGCAATCTTCCCGCCCATATCCACCAACGTGCTCTTATTCCTCACCCACGCTTCAATCCCCCTTCGGCCATTCTCGACGCCCAGACCGCTCATTTTCCATCCGCCCACGGGCATCTCTGCCGGAGATTCCCCCCAAGAATTGATCCACGTAATGCCGGCATCCAATCTATCAATTATCCTATGCGCTAGATTGATATCGCGCGTGAACACGCCTGCTGCTAACCCCAGCGGAGTGTCATTCGCTCGACGCACGGCTTCGTCGACTGTGTCGTACGTGAGGATGGACATGACAGGGCCGAAGATTTCCTCTTGGACTATTTTCATGTTGTCGGTACAGTCGGTGAAGACGGTTGGGGCGACCCAATAGCCATTTCGAACGGATGAATCAAGGCTGGCGGGAGGGTCGGGGCCGCCGTAAAGTAGCGTCGCCCTATCCTGCTCAATGCCATGGCGGATATAGTTTACTACTTTTTCGTAGTGTGTCGCGGAAGACAGCGGGCCATAATTCGTGTTGGCGTCCATTGTGGGACCCGCACGGATGTACTTCATCTTGCTCAGAAGCAAGGACTCAAAGTCGGACTTCAACGTTGCTGGCACAAACACCCTGGTTCCATTTGTGCAGACTTGACCCGTGCTGAAAAAGTTGGCTAGCATTGCTCCGTCAACGGCGCTTTCTAGGTCCGCGTCGGGGAGGACGATGAGCGGGCTCTTCCCGCCCAACTCCATGGTAACGTATTTCATGCTCCCGGCTGCTGACCCTGCAACCTTTTTACCCGTTGCAACCTGTCCGGTGAAGGAAACCTTGGCGATTCCGGGATGCGTCGTGAGGTGGGCGCCCACATCGCCTGCTCCATGAACCACGTTGAACACTCCTGGCGGTAGGCCGGCCTCGGTGTATATCTGGGCAAGAACGAGCCCATGGAGCGGTGTAAATTCGCTGGGCTTGTATACCATCGTATTCCCAGCAGCCAGACAGGGCGCTGATTTCCACAAGGCGCTGTAGCAAGTTAGCGTCCAAGATCATCAATAACTGGCAGACTGGCATATCTGGTGTTTCGTACATTTGAATGGGATAATTCCACGCGCCGATTCCAGCACAGACACCCAGCGGCGCCTTCTTCGTATACACCCACGCATCTTCTCTCAGCTGCGTCGTCTCTCCGTTCAATCCGCCCCCGCTAATCAAGCCCGCGTAGTACTCTAGCACATCGGCGCCGGTGATGACATCCACGGTACTCGTTTCAGAAAACGCTTTGCCTGTATCCAAAGTTTCAATCCGGGCAATCTCATCATTTCGCAGCCGCAAGATCTCCACAGCTTTTAGAAGAATTCTAGCACGAGCTGGGATGGGAGTCTTCGACCAGCTGCTAAAAGCCCTCTGAGCGGATACGACGGCATGGTCTATATCGGAGCTAGAGGCGATGTCGACCGATGCGAGCGCTGACGCCGTGGCAGGATCCACCGTTTGAAATGTTTTACCCGATGTTGCACGTTGGACCGCTCCATCATAGTAAAGCCCCTGGGGAGGAAACGCTGTCTTGTCCATCCTCGAGTGCCAATCGCAGCGTTTCCGTTGTTCTTGATAGCAGGCAGCGCGATGAATGCGAAAAGAGGAAGCCCGGCAGACTGGGGTGCACGTGATATGACATCGGCGGGCAGGGATCGGCGGCGGGGAGAGTGGGTCCGCGCTTGTGCGTCTGGCCCGACGACCTGATTGGCGGGTCTGCTCGGTGCGCCCGAGAAAAGCCCGGCTGGCAGGCCGATTCGGGAGCCCGGCTTCCGGCCAGCAGCAGCTGGAGGACGCTCGCTGCATCTTTCGATGCCGCTTCCACGCAGCGTCTTCCTCTTCGGCTTCCCGGCCAATCACCGCCCGCGCTTCCAAAATGTCCGACGCGGTTACACACGTGGGGAAATTTAGCCCCTTGCGGACTAGCGTATGGCTGGTGGCTTGGCCTCCTGGCAGAGACCCGCTCGGCCGCTCTTCAGGGCCCGTTGATTGGTCAGATTGATGGCTAAAACCGACCGCCAAGACCAGCACGGTTTTCGTCTGATCTTTTCGCCGCGTTCGGCAGTATTTAACACGACATGGCTTCCGTCTTCCTTTTCTCTCTTTGCTTCTATCAAGAGGGCGGACGGTTCGTATGTTTTCCTGCGGATAGAAAACATAGATATCCCTTCATAGATCTTCACTCGCTTTTTGTTTGAACAACGGCGGTCTAGTCCTTCTGGTTCCTCTGCCCTTTTGTTGAGAATCTTGGTTCTTTTTAGCTGTTGGGCTTTCTCTTTCTTTCCTACTCTATCTAGCGGGACCTTCAACAAGGCCCTGTTGCTCGCTTGACCGATTCGTTCAACACGGCGAAAGACTTGAGTGCCATGGCCGCCAAGTCGACAATCGAACTCCCTGTCGGGGACGTGGATAGCTACGACTATGTGATAGTCGGCGGGGGAACTGCTGGCTGCGTCATTGCTAGCAGGCTGGCGGAATACCTTCCCCGGATGAGGATCCTGCTTATTGAAGCCGGGCCGAGCGATTTCATGGACGATCGCGTGCTCCTGCTGAAGGACTGGCTGAATCTGCTGGGAGGAGAGCTGGATTATGATTATGGCACCACTGAACAGCCAATGGGTACGTTTTGATGCCGTCTGCCATGGCTGCTAACCCGCCCCCTGGCCCCTTTTATCTGGCGTATAGGTTGATCGATGCCATCGTCAATACAAAGCAACATAGCCTGCGAGAACCAGCAGAATAATAAAAGAGAGCACCATGATATGAAAGTAGGACTCACATAAGCCTTTTTTTACTGTAGGTAATAGCCACATCCGACACTCTCGCGCAAAGGTGCTTGGAGGCTGCTCAAGCCATAATACCCTAATTTCCTTCCGTCCATTTGAATATGACTGCAAGGTGTGGGAAAGCAAAGGGTGCAAGGGATGGTCCTTTGATACCTTTACCCGGGTCCTCGATAACCTGCGCAACACGGTCCAACCCGTCCATGATCGCCACCGAAACCAGCTCTGCAAGGACTGGGTCCATGCCTGTTCAAGCACCTTTGACATACCCGTTATCCATGACTTCAACAAGGAAATCCGCTCGACCGGGAAACTAACCGAAGGGGTTGGCTTCTTTTCCGTGTCTTACAATCCGGACGATGGCCGTCGCAGCAGTGCCAGCGTTGCGTACATCCACCCGATCCTGCGAGGAGAAGAGCATAAGCCCAACCTCACCGTTTTGACCAACGCTTGGGTGTCCCGCGTGAATGTGTCCGGAGACACCGTGACCGGGGTGAATCTCACCTTGCAATCCGGCGCGCAACGTACCCTCCGTGCAAAGCGGGAGACCATCCTCTGCGCCGGCGCAGTCGACACGCCTCGCCTCCTCCTGCACTCCGGCCTGGGACCCAAGGACCAACTCTCCGCCCTCTCCATCCCCGTGGTCAAAGACATCCCCGGCGTCGGCGAGAACCTGATCGATCACCCCGAATCCATCATCATCTGGGAGCTCAACCAGCCCGTCCCGCCCAACCAGACCACCATGGACTCAGACGCAGGCATCTTCCTCCGCCGCCAGCCCCCCAACGCCGCGGGCTTCGACGGCGATGCCGCAGACCTCATGATGCATTGCTACCAAATACCCTTTTGCCTCAACACCACCCGCCTAGGCTACGATACCCCCATTGACGCCTTCTGCATGACTCCCAACATTCCGCGCCCGCGCTCCCGCGGCCGTCTGTACCTGACCTCCGCAGACCCGGCCGTCAAACCGGCCCTGGACTTCCGCTACTTCACCGACCCCGAGGGCTACGACGCCGCGACCATCGTCTACGGGCTCAAGATGGCGCGCAAGGTCGCGCAGCAGTCGCCCTTTAAGGAATGGATCAAGCGCGAGGTTGCCCCGGGGCCCGAGCTCACCACCGACGAGCAGTTGAGCGAATACGGCCGTCGCGCCGCCCACACCGTCTACCATCCCGCGGGAACCTCGAAGATGGGCGATGTCGCGCGCGATCCGATGGCCGTTGTGGATCCGGAGCTGAAGGTTCGGGGGTTGAAGAAGGTGCGCATTGCGGATGCGGGTGTGTTCCCCGACATGCCCACTGTCAATCCCATGTTGACTGTTTTGGCGATTGGCGAGCGCGCGGCAGAGTTGATTGCGGAGGAGGCGGGGTGGAAGGGAGTTGTATCCAAACTATAAGTATATAAAGGCCTTTTATACCAGGACAATCATATTTTTTGATGAATGACCAAGAGAATCAAAACGGGTTCTGAATATTGATTTATAAAGTATTCTGCATAGAAAGACTACAGGCTAAGAATAGATCATATCTCTTCAATTCAGCATCTGAAATCTTGATTTTTAGTGTGAATTTAAAGAAATCTGGAAAAAAAGAAAATTCTATCTTCTCAATTATTATGAACTTGTCAAACATCACCTTGAAAAAGCCCATCATATGGTATCAACGTTTCCCAAGAGTTTTGAAAATGTTCTTGTCTGAGCAATCTACAAGAAAGCTCATGAGAGATAAGCATTGCCTCCTAGAGAAATTCAAGAGATTGGTGGTGATATCTCATAATGCATGATAATCAACTGCACAGCAGAAGTTTGATATCTTTCTTTTCATTTAAATGCTCATTATTCTAAAGCGTTGTCTGAAAAAATGAGATATCAGTAGTTATTCCATAATAATTTCATTGATTCTGTCAACTTACAGTGTTTGATTTCTGGCAGGTATAGCAGCGTCCAGAAATTACTGCCATACTGGAAAAATGATGAATAACCATCAGATTACCATTCATCTGATCTGATATGTAGATTCCATGCCAAGGATGTAGAACCCATGTAGAAGCTCATGAGATAAACATTTGAATTGGAAATCCATAGGAAGAGTCATCTATGTAACAACTTGAATATGCATGAGTTTGGAGTTCTGGTCAGGAAGGAAGAATGGTCTCATTGGTAAAAACCATTTAAAGAAGACACTCTCCTGCCCACCTGCCTGAAGGCAAAAACAGAATAAAAACAAGCACCTACCCACTCACCCACCTGAAGGCAAAAACATGAAAAAAAATCAGCTCTTCAGAGCAAACTTGTGCTCTTCTTGAGCTTCTCCCATCTCCTCATCTGCTAAAACAGATTCAAAGCTGAGTCCTGACAGGGCTTTCAGCGGAGGTGTGGGGGGAAGATGACACAGCAAACACAGAAGAGCACAACAAAGACAACAAAATTTGCTCTGTGGTTCCCCACAGAGATTCAAAAACCTGACCAGAGTCAGAAGCAGCTGATGACACACCACCAAAGGAGACATGGGCAGGCAGCATTGGTGTCATTTGCAGGGGGTGGGGAGACAAGCAGACTTCACTGGTGGACCAGCAGCAGGACTTGCAAACTTTCTTTTTCTCTATATATCCTGTCAGTATAATTTGACATTATTCACAGAACTGAGAATGCCAAACTACTCACACCTCCAGCAGAAACATTCTCAACCTCCTTTCAGAGGGCAGCAACATCACTCCTGAGGGAGCTGGCTTTATTCTCAATTCACTATTCAAATATATCAGTACAATACAGCTAACAAACATATTCAAGAATGAGAATCTCAGAAAAAAAAGAAATCAAATATAGAATGTCAGAGAGCTCACTGTAGAATATCTTCTTGTGATTTGAGATGTTTGGTTGACATTATCAGAATTTATTCTGTGCCATATTTGCCCTCCTTGGAAATGTCATCTTTCCGTCCATGATCATTGATGGTGTCGCAGTATGGGAAATAACAGTTGGTTGAAGCTGCTTTGTGTCACCTCCAACAACGATTCCCCTGAATTTTGGTCGAACACGCCATCTTTGTAATGCCGACCCATCCGCTGGCCTCCAATTCTTTGGGATCCTCATCGCGGAATATCACAACTGCTTTTGCCTCGGTGCCGAAATGTTGACGGATCGGCTCCCCAGCGAGATTGTTGTTGGTCAACGCAACAATGCGCGCATTGGTCATGATGTGTTGAGAGACAATCTTGAAAGCATACCGAGGTTTTCTCTTATCATCATCTTTCCATTTCTTCGGGTCCATCGTCTCCATCATTTGCAGGTACTTTCTCAGCGCAAAGGCCATGTTCGCCGGGCCGGAATCTGAACCTAATTTCTCTAATTTAATATAGCTTCGAGCCTTATCAGATATCTCATTAATATAATTCATATTCTTGTGTACTACAAGAATATCATCCACATGGGATAACGTTAGGATCGGTGGTATTTTCATTATCATCAGTGCTTTCTTCAGTCTATTCGCCAGACTCTTCGTCTTTGTTGTTCCCAACTCATTTGCTTTCATACGCTGAAGCCTGTCCCTTTGATGAGCTGTCCAACATCGGAGATTAATATTGTCAGAATGTTCATCCACAATTCTGTATTATATTTTTATGCTCCCCTGAAACGGGTATGGGGTAGCCTTAGCATTGACATAGAATATTATGCCACCATGGAGAGCGCAAGTCGTCCCAGTCAGATGTAAGTAGGTCATCATGGAACGGGAGGAAGTCGGCTAGTGTGACATTGAGTTTGGGGTCGGCGACGTAATTTGGGAGGTATACTCCGTAGTAGGCTAGGTAACCCTTTCGGGAAACGGAGTGAATGCCATTTCTTTCGTGCCGCCTTTCGATGCCCCTTTTTGTTTGCAGGAACACCGAGTGCATCGACAATCAATATGTCGGACATATTATTTGACTGCCTCAGATGCATATTGGATGTGATATGGACGCGCAAGATCGTAAGCATACGGGTGTAGTCGTTCCAGTGTATAATACCTGTCGCAGGTGGGATTTTTATGTATGAGTAGTCCTGTATTATAATTTCTCTGTAGGGACTCTGTCTCTTCATTTTGTCTTCTTCTGTGTTTGCTCTCGTTTTTTTTTACTAAAGCCAACCCAGCTGCAAATTCGATTAAGCCGTTGAGGTCAATGGCCCTTTGAAGAGTTTCACCTAAGAAACAAACACAACAATCAGCCCAAGTCCACATATACCAGGCGGGTGACATCTACCCGTTTGCGTAGGCGGTGAGCTCGGCAACAAGAGTCGCACTTCTTCTTGCCATCTTGGACAAGGCAGAGTAAGCCAGGGACTCTATATCCGGGGGAGGCAACGTTCGCACCACCTGTAAAAGGGAGCCAAAGAGGTCCTAACTGTTACCAAGCCATGACATGGCTGAATCATGGGTGTTAGATCATTCTCATCACAATACTCCTCCAGGCGTTGTTGGATGATAATTCAACCAAACAGCCATTAGTGTTTCCATTTCCAGTTTCCGCTGAAATAAACGGATGATTAGTTTGGATCCTCCGTAGTGGTATATGTAGATTGTATAATTTTTTAATGGCCGGCCACAATATAAAGCCTCAGCAATGCCTTTAGCTTCTAAAGTTCTCTCTTTAGGTGCTTCGTGACTCAAGGCTAAGTGGAAAGAAGTAGTAGAGTAAAAAAATGAGAGAAGCATGAAGAGGATAGAGGGTTAAAAGGAAAAGGTGAGAATGATTGAGAGAAACTGAAGAAATATACGAAAGTATGACCAGCGAGAAACTCGTCATATTACCAGGCAAATGAGCACTGCACTATGGTAGCCAGTCCTAAACAGGAGCAGAGCTTGAAGCCATAGTGAAGCAAAG